GTGGGTATATATCCAAAAGAACTGAAATCAGAATCTCGGAGATATTAACACTCCCTGTTCACTGAGGCACTATTCACAACAGCCAAGATGTGGAAACAGCCTAAATGTGTTTGGACAAACAAATGGATAAAGCAACTGTGGTGTATACCTACAGTGGAATATTATCCAGCCTTAAAAAGGAAGGAAATTCTGTACTTGCAGCAACAGGAATGAACCTTGAAGACATTATGCTAAGTGAAATCAGCCAGTCACAGAAGGACAAGTATTACACGATCACATTTCTATGTGAAATCTAAAACAGTCAAATTCATACAATTGAAGAGTGGAAAGGTGGTCATTAGGAGCTGGGCGGGGGAGAGGGAAATTGGGGGCTATTCATTAATGTTTATAAAGTTTCAGTTATGTTAAGAAAAATACGTTCTAGAGATCTGCTCTACAACATTGTACCTATAGACAACAATACTGCATTCTACATTTTAAAATTTGTTAAGAGGGTCGATCTCATGTTAGGTGTTCATATCACAATAAAATGAAATTTTGAAAATTCAAGAGATAGGAATATATTTTTAGCAGGATGCCAACAAAACCCTTGACAGCTTGTATTCTAACCCAAATGAATTTGAATATATCTGAACTGTGTCATTTAAAAAGGGTGACAGTCTCTTCCAGTTCCTTTCCTTCAGAAAATGGCTGTGACATCCAAAGACAAGGTGGGCCAGAAAATGGCTGTCTACACTCCCCCGGGATCCAGCTACCACCTGCCTTCTCCATGCAATAAACTCCACGCGTCAGTCCCCTGTGCTCTTCCCATCTTTTGGGGCCAAGAAAGAGTTTGCGTGGCAGGAGGACATTAAATATTTGTTGGAAAAAAGAATGCATGAATGACTGAGTACTGGAGTCTAGAAAAAGAGGGTCAGAGACTGGAGTGTGTTACTCTGTCACCAACCCTGTCTGGAGGAATCCAGCTCAGATAAGCCAACGCCGGTTATAAAATGAGGTCCCCAGGTGAGAAGGGTGGTTTCTTACGCTACCTTCCAACACACCAACCTGTGACCATGACTTTGTAAAAAAATAAATCTCATACCCAGAAACAAGACAGACTAGAAGGAGAGTCGACCTAGGAGTGATTTTTTTTTCTACATACTTTCTGTGTTTTGCAATTTTTCCACACAATATTCTCTAACTCCTTTATTCTCATTCTAATCCTGTGTGCAGAAGCTGCTTTATGTAATTTAGACTCTGGGATGGATTGAACCAACAGGAGGATGTAAAATGTTCTGCACAAATGAACACGGCTGATAACCCTGGGCCATTTACTTCCTAGGACAGATCAGCAAATTATGAAGCAGGCCTATAAACAGGGCTCCTCTGCCTCGAGGAGCACAGACACGTACTAAGACTGCAGTAACCACTCCAGCACAGCCCCTGTGAGGCTCAGCCCCTTCGGCAAGCCAGGCTCCTGTTTCCTACAACCAACCACCACTGCATCCTTCCCTACTCCTGCTGAAGCATTCCTCCATTCCTTCAAAGAAGGAAAACAAGGTGTGGAAGAGGAGGAGGAGGAATAAACCAGGTGCTAGGGACCAAGCAGCTTGAGTGCCCAAAGCTGAGTCATCTGGAACACTTCAATCATCCAACTTTACTGTACATGTCCTGGAGGGAGGACAGGGGAGGCGGCAGACTATCCGGGAGCTCTGGGCAAGGTATTTGCCACCACGACAGCAAATATTAGGTCTTTCTGGAAGCAGAGTGGTATTGTTATTAAAACTGTCATTTACCTGTATGTTTTATATGAACTGAATTGCTTCTAGCTAACATAATTTGGGAGCAATGAGAATGATAATAGCAGAAGTGATAATAATCAATGAAAGCGCAAACAGATTTGGCATCTGGGGAAGGTGTGGGGGCAGCTTCACTACTGGGGTCTGACAGCGCAGACCCTGAGATTCTGCTCTGGTCAGCATGAGATAGTCCCTCAAGGTCCAGGTAGGATGAGGCAGCAGGCCCAGCCTGTCCTGGTATCTGTCCTTCCAGTACCACTGCCCCTGCCCCCAGAGTTGCTTCCCTATAGAATGCCGGTAATTCCTTCCCTCCTTTCTGTGTGGTAAAATGAGTATCATTACTCACGCCCATAAAGTAACCTAGACTCTTCTTTCGCTTTGGAATTCATCTAACTCTGTCATTTCTATGGCTTTAGTGAATGTGATTAAACTTAGATGGACGAGACAATTCTCTTCTACTACATAAGAAAAGCTGTTAATAAACAAACACTCTATTACATTTTATAAATCAAAGAAAAACACACAAGGTCTTTACAGACCATCCCAGGCATTTTATAGTGAAGAAAACCTGGCTTAGGTTGAGGAACTCACACATAAATAATGGGCAAAGCATTGCCCTCTGAAGCTTCTTTTCCAGATTTGACTATGAGCTTGATATTCTGTTTTTAAGTTCCATTCATTTAGCAAGTCCTTGAGAGACATTTTCAATTCTGGGCCATGAAGGTCAGGGTTTCATGTGCACAGAGAGCGACTCCTTCCTCCCTGGCTACTTCAATGGCTTTTTTAATCACTCTACAATAGCTTCAATAACCTCAATGGAAATCTGCAGAGTGGATCGTCAGCTACAGCTTGAATTTCCTCCAAATTCCTGCACTGATTGTCCTACTGCAGTGGCAGCAGCAACACAAGGGGCCTTCAGATTGGGAAGGCCACACGTGTGGGCTCTTTGGAACTGTGAATCCTTGCGTGTCACCTTAGCAATTTAAAGTACTGTAAAAGAGCCAGAAAAGATTAGACTATTTTGGAACTGTTTTCACATTGTTTTGTATGAGCTAATTTTCTTCCTGTGTATGCATCTTCCTCTTAGGGTACAGGATTCCCTAAGAGAGCCACTAGGTTCTATTTCCCTTCTGTCCTACAATACCGTGCCTGAGTAGCCTGAAACATTCTTTTTTTTTTTTTTTTTTTGTGATGGAGTCTCTCTCTGTCACCCAGGCTGGAGTGCAGTGGCATGATCTCGGCTCACTGTAACCTCCACCTCCCGGGTTCAAGTGATTGTCCTGCCTCAGCCTCCTGAGTAGCTGGGATTAGAGGTGCGCGCCACCACGCCTGGCTAATTTTTGTATTTTTAGTAGAAATGGGGTTTCACCATGTTGGCCAGGCTGGTCTCAAGCTCCTGACCTTGTGATCCGCCTGCCTCAGCCTCCCAAAGTGCTGGGATTACAAGTGTGAGCCACCACGCCAGGCCAAAACATTTTTAAAAAACAAAATTCGCCATGGAAAACTTCTCTCCAGGGCCCTCATCACATGCGCACACAGCTTATTTGTGTAGTGTCATTTTCTGGCTCACAGATTTCCATTAATTAAAAAAAAACCAGCAGGCCAGGCGCGGTGGCTCACATCTGTAATCCCAGCACTTTCGGAGGCTGAGGCGGGCGGATCACTTGAGGTCAGGAGTTTGAAACCAGCCTGGGCAACATGGTGAAACCTCGTCTCTACCAAAACTGTAAAAAAAAAATTAGCCAGGTGTGGTGGCGGGCGCCTGTAATCCCAGCTACTCGGGAGGCTGAGGCAGGAGAATCACTTGAACCTGGGAGGCAGAGGTTGCAGTGAGCCAAGATTGTACCACTACATTCCAGCCTGGGCAAGAGAGTGAGACAGAGTCTCAAAACAAACAAACAAACAACAACCAAACAAAAAATCCCAGCAATGAAAGATTCTTTAGCTCTGCTGCAGATACACATTTTCAACAGATTTCTCATTTCCTCACTTCCGTAAGAAGTGACAAATGTCAAAGACAGAGAAAGGTCATCTACTTTGCTCATTTCAAAAGACAGCTGCTTTCAAAGATTCCTATGTTCTGCCTCAATCTTAACACAATCTCCCTTTCAGGACAGCAAGTAAATGCTGACCCTCTTGAGAGAGACTTACGTTTTATACAGACTTGTGATTCCAATACATGGAATACGTTCCATGTGCAGCTGGGCCACGCGAACCTGATTATGAACAGCAGGAGGAAATTTTTTCTTGGAGGAAAAGGTCAGAAGGACCCTGATAGAGGAGTATGTTTCATTTATAGCCAAGAAATAGCTTAGGCCCTGAAAGAACCTGCATCAAAATGAGTACGCATGTCCTGGGATTTGGACTTTGCTGAGTTTCTCAGGTGAAAAGTGGGAGAAGAATTTGAGAGATGCGCTGAGAGTCCTATCAAAATCAGTTTTTACATTTCTCTTTATCTCAGGTCTATATACTGACTTCTCTGTACTTATACAAAATCCTGGTATTTATTTTCCCTTTTCTACTCTTTATTCCTTATTTTCTCTCTCTTTTTAAAAGAGACAGGGTCTCACTCTGTCACCCAGGCTGGAGTGCATGGCACCATCAGAGCTCACTGCAGCCTTGAACTCCTGGGCTCAAGCAATCCTATTTCAGCCTCCCAAGTAGCTGGGACTACAGGCGTGCACCACCACGCCTGGTTAGTTTTAAATTTTTTTGTAGAACAAGGTCTCGCTATGTTGCCCAGGCTGGTGTTGAACTCCCGGGCTTAACCGCAGGCCTTGGCCTCCCAAAGTGCTGGAATCGGTAGCATGAGCTACCGAGGTCGGCCTATTCCTTACTCTAGATTAGGGGTGTCCAATCTTTAGGCTTCCCTGAGCCACACTGGAAGAAGAATTGTCTTGGGCCACACATAAAATACACCAACACTAAAGGCCACTGATGAGCTTTAAAAAAAAATTCGCAGAAAGTCTCAATGTTTTAAGAAAGTTTACCAATTCCTATTGGGCCACATTCAAAGCCACCCTGGGCCCAGGCAGCGAGTTGGACAAGCTTGCTCTAGATCAGACAGGATGTTAGTGGGAATTCTGACTCCTTCCAATTCCCCTGCAACAAAGTTTGTACCAGGAGCATTTACACAGTTAGCGAGTGTCCAGCAAGACGTGCCAGCGGATGTGGATCGCCCCAGGCCCTACCCGTCCCGCACCCTCGGCGCGCTCTTACCAGCTCCCCTGCGCAGCGACCTTTTCTCCGCCGTCCTGGGCTCCTTCCTGGGGTCGCGTTCTCCCGGGCCGGTGTCGGGGGGCGCGGCCTGGTGCGGGAGCGTGAAGCTCTGCAGAAGCGGCTTCCGGGGCAGGGGCGGCTTGGAGCTGAGCGGCTCGGGGGGCCGGGCCTTCCCCTTTCCTTGGTCGCTGGGGGCCCTGGCGCCTCGAAGGGAGGGGGCCGTCCCGAGGGGACACTTCTCCTCCTTCGGGAGCACGGTCAGCGACCTTTCTAACCGGACTTCGGCACTGTACCTCTTCACACCCTTCGTCTCCTGGGAGGCGCCATCCCTGTATTTGAGCGAGAGGGAGGTGGACCGGAGCTTGACGGAGAAGGGGTTTCTGTCCTCACGCGGGGCCGGCTCCTGGGCGGCTGGGCAGGGCTCTCTCGTGCCGGGTGTGGCGGCCGCCTCCTGGGGGCTCCTGCGCGGCCCGGCCGGACTGGCCGCCCTGTCCCCCGAGTCCTGAGGGCCGCACTCGGCCGGCTTCCGAGGGCCGGGTTTCGCGTGCTGGGGCTCAGGGAGACCCTGGAGGTCGTCAAGGGCCGCCTCGCTCCTCCAGGCCGGGCTGCTCCTCGCCAGGGGCAGGCGGCAGCTGGCGCGTTCCAGCGGGCGGGAGGCGCCCGGGCGAGGCCGCGCTCGGCACGAGGACACCGAGAACTTCTTCGCGCCTCGCAGCTCGGCGCCGCCCCTCTCCGCCTTCCGCTCTGGAGCCGCCCTTTCGGCGCCCGCCGGTGGCGCCTCGGCCCGCTCGGCCTTGGGGCGCTCGGGGGCGGCGGCCTCTGCGTCGGGGGAACCCGGGCCGTGCTCCCCCGGGGGGGACTCCGCGGCGGCAAGCGGTGGGGACGCGGCAGGGCCCTCGCTGGCGGCCGCGGGCCGGTGCTTCAGGCAGCTCTTGGGCGCCGGCGGGCTCGGGGCGGGCGCCGCGGAGGGCTCGGTCCCAATTCTCTCGGGCTCGGCCCCCGCTCCTTTCTCGGGCTCGGTCTCTGCCCCTCTCTCGGGCTCGGCCCCCGCTCCTCTCTCGGTCTCTGCCCCTCTCTCGGGCTCGGTCTCTGCCCCTCTCTCGGGCTCGGTCTCTGCCCCTCTCTCGGGCTCGGTCTCTGCTCCTCTCTCGGGCTCGGGCGCCGGCCCTGGGGGCCCCTTCTCCTCGTCCGGGAGCACGGGCGGCGTCGGCTCCGCTTCCTTCGGGACACTGCGGTCTGGCCCGTCGGGAGCAGAGGACGCCTCCGAGGTGGCGGTGGGGTCAGACTCGGGGGGCGCCATGTCCCCCTCAGGGAGGGCGGTGGGAAGCGGGCTCGCGACGTCTTCGGGAGCACAGACCACCTCCTCCACCGTGTCCGCGGCCGGGGCACACGGGCCTGCGGGGGGCGCCTCCCCCTCCTGCTTTCCGCCGTCGGGACCTGGATGCAGGGGGCCCTCCGGCGGGGACGGGGGCTCCACGCGGAGGATGGGGGCCGACTCGGGCTCGGCGAGCTCCGGGGTGACCGGGCGGCTTGAGGGGTCCTCCCCGGGGGCGCCCTCCTCCTCCAAGCTGGCCCTGAGCGCCGAGCAGTGCTGCAGGCGGGCGCGTCTGGCACGGACCCCTCCGAGTGGCGGCAAGGGCGCCGGTGGCTCAGGCTCAGGGCCTCTGTCTGGTGCCACGTCCTGCTGCCCAGAGCTGGGGCTCTCTTCTGGGCTGACTTCCAGCAGTGGCTTCTCCTCGTTTTCCTCCTCCTCTGGGGTGCACGTCAGGTCGCTCAGGGATTCAGACTGAGCGCGCTTAGAGAAATAAAGATAAAAAGCATCGTCACTATAGCAAATTCCAGGAAGCCTGTCACCTCCCCACTTTCTTCAAGGCTTGTAATGGGTTAGTGATAGCAGCACTCTAAAGGTGGCACTTAAGTAGGCATGTACCCACGGGTGTCTTTTCTCAGTTTGTATCCTCCTGGTCTACTTGGGCTCACAGGTGTTATCAGGACAATGGCAGATATGCCTCCCAAGTAAAAGTCTACAGCTCCTCTGACAGAGCCTCAAAACCAGTGCACTAGAGAGTAACGCCAAGGGAAGGAGACCAACAGCAGCCAGTGTCTGCCTTGCTCTGTGCTCCACACTTGTTATTTCATTTAATCCTCCATTCATCCCAGTGAGGAAGGGATGATGAGTCCCTTTTGGCACTTGAGAGCCAGGAGCTCAGAGAGGCCAATACCTTGTTCAAGCCTGGCGGAGCAGGTGGCGGAGCTGAACAGCTGGGGCTCTATGGCCCTTTGTTCATCCCAGCCAGTCTCCCATGTCAGCACTTCAGGAGTGCACCCTCATAGTAAAGTCAGACGGGTTTTCCTAAAAGATGGCTTGTATCATGCCAATAGCTAACCACAGCTATACAGGATAAAACCAAATTTTTCAGCTAAATTTAAAGTCCTGGATTCTCTGGTCTTAAGTTGTTTCTTCCACTCCCTACTCAGGTCAAACCAAGCCCTCAACACTGTGCCAGACACTTGGTCTGAGTGACTGTCACCTCCCCATTCTCCCCGCCCCCAACCTCCAAGATACTCTACCAGGACCCCCAAGGACTGCCTCAAACTCTCCCACTCTTTGCAGTTTAAGATTCCCCCCTTCTCTAACCTCCTGAAGCTCTACTGGCTTGGCAAACGTATGCTGCCTTGTGATATTCTTCTGAAAGATCTCTAGAATCCAGATTCCAGTCCAACCTCCTCCTTTTGTCACAGAGTCAGTTCCTGCTCTCTCGGGAAGGAAAGGAGCTCCAGGTAACCAAGAACCATTCAAAAGTAACATGTGGAAATGACCAAAAGGTTGATGGTGTAGAGACTGATCTTTTTAGAAAGTTCGTGATATTAGACACCAAGAGTCACCCAGGCTATTGCTCTGTCCTTCCCTTTGTCTAAAGCAGGAAATGTGACACTCAGGGTATGTTTGCAATAGGTTTTTCTTCTTGCTGTTTGTTATTATTTTAACATTTTTCATGGCATCTGCTTGCTAACAGAATACAGGATGCCTGGGATGTCTGTGACAATACCTAAGCAAACTCACCAAAATGCATGATCCTATTCTTTTGGATTTAAAAAGAGGAAGAGGCACAAAGAAAGCTACAGAAGAACTTTCAAAAGTTGCAGGTTCTTTACTTTGCCATGTTGATGACCTTCTGCTACTACAGGAAACTGCTGATGTTGAAACCTCTTTAGGATGGAGGTCACCTTTTAAAACTATCAGTCACGGAGCACTGGCAGCAGAGGGGGGTGGCATGGCTGTTCTTTCCTGTCCTGGGAGCATTTAGGGAGCATCTGAAAGCACCTTGGTCCCTGAGAGGGGCCAGGCCACAAGGAAGATCCTTATGGTTGGGAAGAGGGACCTCATGACCAAAGGGCAATGACACTGTGGACACTGAAGGACAGAGGCCCCCAGCATCACAGGTTCCACAACAGTGGATGGAGGAAAATACGGACACCTCTGAGAACTTAAGATACCCATGCCTGCTCCCAAGCAGGGAAGGGGAAAAGAGGGAAAGACCATGGATGTGACAGAGTTGAAATCAAGGAAAGGCTGTGTTTACCTGTTTGCGCAGACTGGCTACATCAGGTTTTCTGTTATTCTACAAAGTGGGATTCAAGAACTAAGTCAAGTTCAAATGTAAAGAAAGAAGGATACAGCCCTGCCCAGATGGGAGCAAGAAGGGAGGCTGCGTTTCCACCTGGAATAGACACCAGGCTTCGCTCTGTCACCAAGTCCTGGCCAGGTTGTGGTTGTCTATAAATGCCCTGGCCAGAGCAAAAGACATCCCCATGGGAGTCATAAATCACAGACTTGAGGACCAGAAGGGAGCAGGCCCTGGCCCTGTGGTCTCATTCAGCACGAGGACAGGCAGGTCTTCAGTGACTGGACCTTATCAGGCCGACACAGCACACAGCCTTTCACTGTACATGCACTGGACACACACACCTATGCACAAGTATCCTGGTTCCTAGCTGGCACATCAGCCTAAAGGTAACTCACCTTCCTTCTCCAGCATTAGTCCCCTCAAAAGTCTACTCTGCCGGCATGAGTTTGAAGAGCACCTTCCATATGCCCAAAGGAAAACTCGCTGTCTTCAGGGAGTTGCTGAACTCCTGAGTGACCCTAGTCCAACTGTCTGCAGCTGAGGCACCCAGCTTGCCCTGGGTACTTCACCAACACACCCCAATCATGTCGCCAGGGAAGGACAGAGGATGTTAGCCTATGAGCATCTCTTTATCAGCACTGTCATTCTCTGTGGCCAGGCTGGCCCCCACTCCAGGGGGGACGCGTTACAGTGCCCGTCAGGTAGGGGAGAGGGAACAACCCTATGTGAACCTCAAACCTGCCAGTAAATGAAGCCAAAGTATTCCATGAACCAGTTTCTCAGCTTCTAGGACTAGGAGGTAACGACACCCCAAGGCAGCACACCCAGAGAGGGGTCTGTCTGTTCTCCCTATGCTACTGAGTAGGCCCTCATCCAAGGCAGGTGTCCACGCTAGTGTTTCGGCTTCTTTCATTCACTCATTTGTTAATTCACTCATTCATTTGTTCCGTCGTTCATCCAACAACTGTTGTCATTCAACAACTCCGTGACCAGAAATGTTCTAAGGGTTGAAAGTGCAGCTGGCACAGGGTCTCAAAGACGACTGGCAATAAGAGCACATCCATTTGCAAAGGTCACTCTGGCATGAGGCGAGTGCTCTGAAGGAAGTGAACGGGCAGGGTGAGTTTCTCTGGGGGACTCTCAGGCCCCCAAGGCTGGGACACAGCAGCACCAAGGCCTGAGGCTAGAGGCAGCTCGGGAGCTCAAGAGGCAGAAAGGTGGCCAGAGTGCTGAGTGAGAAAGGTAAGAAGCCTGAGGGGTAGGCAGGACCTGATGTACCAGGCCTGGAGTGTGGACTTTACTCTGAGTGCAGGGGGAAGGCAACCAGCATTCAGTAGTGAGTGTGTGAGGAATGACGGACAGATGGATGGATGGATGAATGAATGGAGCGATTCTGCAAGGGAGAGACATCTGGATTATGTTTAAAATGATGAGCAACTTCATCTTCTGCAGCATGGCTCCATCAACTGTGGGAGTGCTCGGAGGGGCACGAGACCCTGTGGGAGGGAGTGAGGTAGGTTGTGCGGGTTTGCGGGGGGGTGTGTTAAGCCTGTCTGGCCTGCCTCTGTGTGGAGAAGGAAACCCAATTACCGATGAAAGCCGCCTCATCTTACTCGACCGCTGGTTGCGGGGCTTGACCTGGAGCTTGTGCTTAGCTGCAGAGTTGTCCAAGCAGGAGGAGGATTCTGGAGGGTAACTGAAGTCGGCCACTGGTGCCAGGCTGCTGTCCGAGGTCCGGGCAGAGACAGTGCTGTCACTTATGTGGTCTGGAGACACGACAGAGACCTTCATGGGACGAGAACAAACACACAGAGCATGAACCTCACCATGTGAAATAAGGACGACCAAAGCAACAATGCTCTTTCCTGCCCAGGCTCAGTCTTCTCACACTGTCTCTGGCTTTATGTGTGTGGAAATTCTTTCTTTCTTTCTTTTTCAAGATGGAGTCTTGCTCTGTCACCCAGGCTGGAGTGCAGTGGCATGATCTCGGCTCAATGCAACCTCCGCCTCCTGAGTTCAAGCAATTTTCCTGCGAGTAGCTGGGATTACAGGCACCCGCCACCACACCCAGCTAATTTTTGTGTTTTTCGTAGAGACAGAGTCTCACCATGTTGGCTAGGCTGGTCTCAAACTCCTGACCTGGTGATCCGCCCGCTTCGGCCTCCCAAAGTGCTATGATTACAGGCATGAGTCACCACGTCCGGCCAATACTTTCAATTTGATTCTCAACAAGGAGGGGTCTAGGATCCTCCTGGAGAAGGGTAAATGGCTGGGAGTTTAAAGTACAGGGCCAGCTCCTGGAAACCTGCCACTCCTTCCCAAGACCACGCAGAGAGCCTGTGTCTCAGGCTCCCGTGTCACTCTTCTGTGGCAGCTGGCACAGGCACTTCAGACACGAGCTTTCTCTGTCAAAACACACCAGCCCGATTTGTCCAAGGGCACAGTCACCTGGTCCTGTCTCTGGAAGCTGAGAGGAAGGTTCAGAGGTGTGATTTTAGAAGCTGGGGCGCAGAAAGTGCCAAGCCCACCACCCAGCATTCCGTCACTGGAGCCCTGTTGGTTCAACCTCGAAGGTCTCTGTGTGCTTACGTGTCCTTTTGAAGAAATCTGGCTGGAAACTGCCATCTGTTAAGTTACAGGTATTTTACTCATTTATACTTCAGCACGGAAGAACTGATAGCAAATAGCAAACATGTCACCTGGGACAAAGGGATGCTAACAGTCATGTGGAAGAATGAGGGCAATACCTGCAGATCTCTGCCCCCCGAACTTGGCCAGCTCCGCCACTGAGTGAGGTCGAAGTTTGCTCCCCTGTGGACACGAGTTGGCATGCAACTCAGAGCGCCTGTGAGCACATGCAGCCCAGACGAGGGGCGAGGTGCACAGGGAGACTATGGGAGGTGGCAGGCTTTTCATATAACTCTGTGATCTTCAAGTGAGCTTTCTATTCAAGCACAGTGTGCAATATTAGTGTCAAGTTTCCATTTAACTTTAGAATTTTATTCACACAACGATTCAGTAAGCCCTCATGAAAACAGTGAATGAGGCAGTGAGACAACACACCAGTGCCGTCTCCAGTGGCAAACTCCTAGGGCCATGGGCACATCTGCTGTTTCTTTTCCATAACCCTGGGACCCCCACACAGAGCAGGTGCCCAGCAGCCTTTGCTAACCCGGACAGGGAACCATAAGGATGACTGTACTGGAGAGATGGGCTCCGATACAGGAGGAACCACCTCTCCCTGTTCACGTGAAGCTCTCTCCTATTTTCTAATAAAAGTGTAAGTTTATCCGTGTAAACATGGAGGAGATAATTACTAAAATGGGGGAGAAGGGGCTAAAAGTGGACATAATCTATTTGAATTCTCTTTTAGCTACTCAGGTACTTACGGGAATAAGGCAAGAAATATTATGTTAACAATAAGTCACAAGTCTCCTGATCACAACTACATCTGTGCCTGTAGCTCTGGCTCTCACTGCGGTCACTGACAACTCAGGAAGTCGCCTTAGATTGGGAAATCGATACCTTTCCCAGAGAGCCTTCCTTAAAGGTCACAAACAGGATGTGTACATTTAAAAATAATCACACAGAGTCTGTAATATTTACCCTTGTCTAGAGGAACAATGTATAAACATTTGGTTAAAAAGAAAATCTCACTGCCTAGGACTCATGAGAATAGAGGAGAGGAGCCGCTTTGCAAGTGCAGTGAGAATGATCACGGTGCCTGTGACAATAATACCCCGGGCCGCTCCTCTGTTTTTTTTTTTTTTGAGACGGAGTCTCGCTCTGTCCCCCAGGCTGGAGTGCAGTGGCCGGATCTCAGCTCACTGCAAGTTCCGCCTCCTGGGTTTACGCCATTCTCCTGCCTCAGCCTCCCAAGTAGCTGGGACTACAGGCGCCCACCACCGCGCCCAGCTAATTTTTTGTATTTTTTAGTAGAGACGGGGTTTCACCGTGTTAGCCAGGATGGTCTTGATCTCCTGACCTCGTGATCCACCCATCTCGGCCTCCCAAAGTGCTGGGATTACAGGCTTGAGCTACCGTGCCCGGCCACGCTCCTCTTTATAGAATAAAGCCCAATACCCTGAAGGCTCCGAAGGATGCACAGCAGGCCCTCCTCCCTGTGGGCCGCCCTGTGTCTGTCCTGCATGGGTAGATATCTTGGGTTCAGGCCCACTCTGGCCCCTGGGTTAGGGGACCTCGGCATGGAGCTTAACTTCCCTGATCTGTGTCCCAGGTACAAGCTCTCCCTGACTAGAGAACTCAACTCCTCTGGCCTCAGAACTCTCACTTCTGTTTCCACGGTTGCTCTGAGAGATCTTGGGGTCCAGAAAGACCCCAAGGAGAATCGTGCCTGTTGTTGATCAGTGATGTAACTATGTGAGGTGGGCTGGCGCCCGTGCGGAGGAGGTGAGGGCTGGGAAGCTGGCATCATGAGTGGGCTGGAAGCATCCAGAACATTCACCTCTGCATGGCTTGCTTCCAGTCACCCAGTGTTTCCTGAAATCTGTGCTTCTGGATGATTCTGAAAGCAGAGGGTTTAAAAGTCTAGCATGTGGCTCTTTGTTGCAGGGAAGGCAGCCCAAAGGACCCAGAGGAAACAGCCTGGGGTCAGAAGCTTGTCATAGGCGGCCCTGAGTGACAGGTGCTTTAGGATGTGTGTCCTCAAAAAGAGGGGCTCAGCCACTGATGAGTGGGCCAGGGGCAGTGCATGAAGGAAGGGCCACTGGACAGGAAGCAGGGGGGCCTGGCTGTTCCAGGGGTGAAAAGAAGCTGCTGGTCCTGCTAGGAAGGAGAGGTACTGATCTACCCAATCTCATCTTGTCCCCCCAAAACCCTCTGAGCCAAAACCCTCTGAGGACACACATTCTAAGAGGTGATAAGCCTGCCTGAGGCCTCCCTCTGGAGCTGTGGGGCATGTATTTGTTCATTTGACACCAGGTCTGTGTTCCCTCCTCATCTTCCCTTTCCACATCACCAGGAGTAAGATGACTCAGTAGCCTTGCCGGTTTATCACACTCTACCTGGCATGTCCTGCTTCATAGCAGGACACCTAGAATAGGACCAGTGAGACATCATGTTATCTTAAAAACCACCAGGTAAAACTTTCATCAGTTGTTATCACACTTGGTAATAAAATTTGAAAAATTATTCCATATATTTCCTGAAAACCTTATTCTATCAGGAAATGTCACCTTGGTTATAACATCAAATACTTGCTACTAAAGACTCTTTTTTCCATAATAATCTTAAATTTTTCTGTCTGTGTGGGCCTGTGTGTAAGCATGTGGGCCTGTGTAAGGTGTAAACAGCCTGCAGCCCATCGTTTTGGGGCTTTCAGCCCTATTATATCAAACACCACATATTCTACAAGCCCGTTTTAAAGGGTGTATTGTTTTTCCCTCTCAATCAACCAATTATGCGTAAAAACTTTCAGGCCTCTAAATGCAATTATTGTGTCTTCAAAACGATGAAGACACTTAAGATTACCTTTTTGTTTTTAAGTCTTAAAGGCTCAAATTTTGGTTTCCTGTGAAGCTAGTAGATTGTCCATATTACCCAATAATTGATAAAATCTCAGAACTTTTTTTTTTTTTAAATAAAGGACCAACCACAGGAGGTGGTTGTGCTGTGAGAGAGAAGGTCAGGCTGGCCCAGCCAAGTCAGCTGTGGAATTTGTGCCTCGTGCTGTCACACAGGTTTGGAGATAGGCTTGCTTTTCAATGGATGGGTTCCTCACTACCTCTCCTCTTACTGCCCACCCTGGCTAAAGGCAGAGAACTGGGATGCTGTGAGAGTCAGAGACCTGTGGGATGGGAGGAGGGGGAAGTCCATCTATGATGAGGAACGAGGCAGCTCACGACAGACCTCTTCCTACTGCAGAGCTCAGAAATGCACCAAGTCACATCTGCTCCTGAGAAGGGGACGCTGAAACTGCACACAGGAGTATCTGGAGGTGTTAAAGGGGTACAGGGTTGGCTCGGTGAAGTCTACGAAATAGGCCACACCATCCTCCTCATTCTTTCTCCCTTCTGCTCGAGGCTGGAGAGAAGGCCTGCATAGCCCACTGTCCTCAGACCCTGCTCATTCCTGGAGCAGGGACAGCTTCGCCCTGGAGCAGAATTCTGGAGAGAATAATTCTGTAGCCGACTTCATGTCAGTCCCCACCCCACACACTCAGCCACACCACAGTCCTTCTGCCTTTTTCATCAGTGACGTTCTGGGAACTCACAACTACACAAAAATCTAGTGTGGCAGGGTTTATAGGTGTCAACATTGAAGTGGCTACTGAAAAGAATTCAGAGAAGCACAGAATCTACAAGGCAGCAGGTCACAACGAAGCCCCCCCTTCACTGTGAATGGCCCCTCAAGCAGGCCAGAGGTGACAGGGGCAGGTGTGTGGCTATAAAAATAACTCTGGCCTTGATTTGTTTTTCAGGTGTCAGCGTAACAGATAACTCCAACTCTATCCATCCTCCACAGTCAGGCTTGTCTACATGGGAACAATGACCACCTATTTTTAACATTTATGTGCAAGTACAGTGTATGGGCATTAAGTGCTCTTACCACAATAACATAGTTTAAAATGTGGCAGCACCGCGAGCTGCGTTGTTTACGCGCGAGAAAGAGCTCAGTTCCTCGGGGACCCCCTCTTGGATTCTAATGGGAAAGGTGGTGTTTGGGACTGGTTCCTCCACCCTGCTGAGGTCATCAGTTCCTCTCTTGCTTGTCAACCTTTCCCTGCTGCCCTGTTTGCCAGCAACACAGCACATGACTACCCCTATGCCGACACCGCCTTCAGGTCACAGACTCAGGCACCAGAAACCATCAGAGCCTCGACTATCACGTGCTCACTACTTGCCCCTCCCGCCGGCCAAATGTCGTGGCAACAGAAAACAGACACAACGTGTTTCCCTACTTCTAATGGGGTTCTGGGTCTGGTCATCTGCTCAGACAGGAAAGTCCAGGGACAGGGTTGATTCTGGGTTGATTCTATCAACCTATCACCCTCATAACAAATGTCACCAAAACCACGTCTCCTAACCAGACCTGAATTTCTACTCAAAGAACGAAAATAAACACAGCTCAAGGGCTGACTGTAGGCTCCAGTGACCGAGTCGGCCATACCATGCACAGCCTCACCTATCCATGGAAATCTCAAGGGCACACACAGGGGATCCCAGAGCTCCAGCGCCCTCCAGGGCAAGTGTGGACGGAGACGTGCAGTGGCTTAGGCCGTACTTGCCTTTATGGTGGTGCCGGGACCCACGTCGTGCTGCAGAGACATCTCTGGGGGGCTCCTGGGCAGCCCATCATCCTCAGAGCTCATGCCAGCATCCTCTCCGCGCTTGGCAGGAAGCCCCCCTGGAGGAGGTGGTGGCCCCATTTTCACATTACACTGTATTTTTAACTAGATTGGAATAAAGAACATGTGCTCTTATTTTCATCAATGATATTTATCAACAGATCCTCCTGCTCTAACTCATTCATGCTGGAAATGCCTTCAGTGTCTTGGCGTGGTGCAGAGAACTGAACGTGCATCTGCCACCAGCTCTTCCACTGCCATCTCTTCTTTGTTCATCTAAGAATGAGTTGAGATCCCACTGTAACTCATTTGGTGTCTCCTGGGAGAGCTGTCATGTACATGTGATTCTACTTTACGGCATATCAAATAAACCAAGCGGAAATCATTTAAAAACTTCTCAGCGGATACTTGACTTGCACACCAGGTGACATGACCAAGGAAACATTTACCTGCAGTGCTTTAATCCGATCACACACATTTTCTTGGGAAAACACCCGCACAGGCCGAGTAGGGTCCTGTCCGGACTCAGGAATGAAAATACTGTCGTGAGAAAGGGCCCGGCTGCCCAGCGTGCCCCTCGACTCCCTAGGATAAAAGAGCCACTGTGAGACTCTGCCGACCTCCATCTTACTGACCCCCGGGGGACTCAGAATGAGAAAGGGGGATGTGGGTTAACAGAATATCAAACAACGCTCCCTCTGCTGCATTTACATTTCAGGGGTCCCTGACTTCAGTTCATCCACACACTGTCAACTATTTGGAGCGTTGCAGAGATAGGAATCTTCCTAGGAGATCTAAAGGTTGTGTGAATTATTTTTATTAATGAAAAAAACCAAGGTTTGACAAGGTGTGAGGTGCAAGACTGCAAGCCTGCAGAGGGGAGGGGCTGGCACGGCCAGCTTCTGAGGATGTCCCAGCTGCCCCGGGGAGGGTGAGGTCCCGCCTTGTGGGCAAACACGCAGCCCCTCCATGGGCTGAAGGCTGTATGTGTGCAGCAGGCTGAGGGTCCACCTGATGAACGCATCCTCACAAGACAGACCAAGACATGCATCCGTGGCTGGTTTGAAATGAGAACTACAAATCTGCAAAGCTGTGGCCTCTTTTTATGACCTGGCACCATCCGTGTGACCAAAACCTGTGTGCCTGCCTAGATCCTGGAGCAGAGATGGTGGCCTTCCTTCTGTCGTCGCCATCCCAGTCCTTTCCTCAGCTCGGAGCTCAAGAATCTGATCTGGGACTGAACCCACAGGACATTCACAAAATGTCCTAAAAGGATGTGGGAATTAGCTGTCAAATTTTGCTAGCAGCGCTGGCTGCCTGAACAATAGGTGGAAGGAGATGACTGAGACCCAGTGATGAAGGAAGGAAAGCCTACCTCTGCACACACTGGACATCTCGTGTGCACCACCCCACGTCCTCCCCTCCTGCCACTCCCCTACCCTGGGCCTCCTGTCCACTGTGGGGCATTAAGGACTCTGAGGTGTGGCCCTGTCCCACTGTCAACCAAACTGTGTTGGTTAATAACGCTTCCTTCTCATTAAACTCTCACGCCTGCAACCGTAAGCTTGCAAGTGGGAACTCATGGCTCCCAGGATGTGTGTGTCCTCACATGCCAGGGAGGGAACACACCAACTGAAGGAATCGGGCCCTCCCTGACCAGGGCAGCTCTTAACCCGAAGGTCACACACATGCTTGGATTTCCCTTCCCCAGGGGACAGCCCATGGCCCACACTCTCTGGGAACCACAACCACCACCCAAGCACCTCCGTTCTGGATGTAATGAGGAGTGCAGGCAGCATGAAGAGGCCTCTGCAAAAACACAAAATGGCACATGTGCAAGGCCATTCACTACAGCAATATTCAGAAAGACTGAAAGACAGGAAACACCCAGTGCCCCTCAGTAGGCATCTAACTGAATCAACCATGAATGTCCTACAGTGGAGGACTCCACAGCTGGTCCGATGGGCAGGAGGGTCTCCACACACTGCACACAGGCATCACCAGATACTACTAAGTGAAATAAATAACAACCACTACAGAACAATGTCCACAGTATGTCAGCACTGCATAGGAAAGGGGGGCCTGGATATTATCTGAACATGTGTGTGTGTTTCTTATATTTAACAAAATGAAAACAGAAGAAGAAATAACAAGTAAATAAAAGTGGTTTCTTTTAGGGGGAAAGAAATAACTAGATGAGGAGACATAGTGCAAAGATACCTACATTTACAACTTTGTCTTTGAAACTACGTAAACGTTTTATATAATTAAAAGACGAAACCAAACAAAAAGAGAAATTAAAAAATCACTAAAAAGGCCGGGCACGGTGGCTCAAGCCTGTAATCCCAGCACTTTGGGAGGCCGAGATAGGCGGATCCCGAGGTCAGGAGATCGAGACCATCCTGGCTAACATGGTGAAACTCCGTCTCTACTAAAAAAAATACAAAAAACTAGCCTGGCGAGGTAGCGGGTGCCTGTAGTCCCAGCTACTCGGGAGGCTGAGGCAGGAGAATGGCGTGAACCCGGGAGGTGGAGCTTGCAGTGAGCTGAGATCCGGCCACTGCACTCCAGCCTGGACGACAGAGCGAGACTCCGTCTCAAAAAAAAAAAAAAAAAAAAAATCACTAAAACTAGAAAACAAACACAAACAAACAAATCTAATTTTATATCAGATTGTTGGCATGACCACACAGAGAATATAATAATTTCAAGTGACTTTGACTCCACATCCAAGATAGAATACATTCTAAGAACAACAACAAGAAAACTAAAGATAACAAATTGCACTCACTAATCTTATGAGTAGTAATAATAATTAAAAAACCAAAAATATTAAATTGCACTCTGCAGTTTTATTAGCAATAACACGGATTATAAGACAGTGTGCAGAAAAGTATTTATAGTATCTTTAACTTCCCTGTAGGAAAGGGATAAGGAAATTATTATGAATATATGATAGGTTAAAGAAAATAAGTCATTTCATTAATATCATAAGGAGCCCTGGTTTCCAGCGTAAGAGAAAAGAGAATACAAAGAATTAAAGAAGGAAAAATGTCTTACTAAACTTGAATTGGAAATATCAGCAAATTAATGATGAATTTTTCTCTTGAAAAGTAAACCATTTCCTAGCTATATCCACAGGACAGGTTTAGAATCAGTGACAGCCAACTAGTAATTATCAGCCCTGGCAGCAGGACTGAAGTCTTTAAAAGCCATTTCACACCACAAGGAGGGGGCCAGGACCCTGTGAAGAAAGTGCTGATTCCAGGTCAGGGGAAGAAAATATACCAAATAAACCTGAGATTTCTCACTGGACAAGAAAGTAAGGAAGCCATCAAAGATGAATGGGGTCATGTCAAAAGAGAGAGTGAATTTCAAGTGACTCTCAACAGCCTAAGATGGAACAACTTGAGCATTACATGAATAAAGACTGTCGTGGATTAAAAAGCAAATCAAATATGTAAAAAGTAATGCATTCCAATGATATCTGGGAAAAAAAAGAAAAAACAAAACCCACTGGCCAATGTCAGGAGTCGCCAGGGGACCACATCGTTACTCTGAGGGTGGATCAATGAAAGGAGAGCCAAGCATGATCCTGACTTTACTCTAGATTGTATTTCAGAGCAACCAAGCAATTGATGAAGGAAAGTTCTTCATCAAAGAATTTCAGTTAGCAAGTGTACAATGAATGACAGAATTAGAAAAACCACCACTTTGTGACAAAATAACAAATCATCACCAAGTGTTAAAACTGTCAGCTGAAGGCTGGTCGAGGGACCACAATGACACACCCTGAACCCACTGCTCAGAAAGCATGTGACTCATCCTGGGATGTGATAACATCCAGCACCTGCTTGAACCTGACAGCATCTGGATCCACCAAATGATGTACTGGGAATTGGGAGAATATAGGAAAGAGCTGAATCGCACCAAGAGAAAGCAAAGCCAGAATATGGGACATTCTGCAGGACACGTGGCCCTGCTTTGCCTTCAGATCAATGACATGAAACAAAGGGAGAGGGCAAAAGGAAATCGTTACAGATTTCAGAAGCACAACTGCACAGACACAGACGCGATAAATGGGCGTCACCTTTTTCAACCCACAGGGTCCCATGTGGTTTGCTCGCACTAATGTGCCTCAGCAAATGGAGCTGTTTTCCCCCCAGTAATGGATGAGAAGTTGCCGCAGACTCTCCCACAGGCCAGACAGTACTTTCCTCTTCCTCTGTGCTGCTGTCTAAAAATGTCATTTGTACTTCCCAGGCCTCCTCATGCTCCACCCCCAATCTTCCTTGCCTAGCATCAAAACCAGCAAACTGTTACCAGTCACTGGGCACCAGCTCCCTGCAAGGTGCTGGGAATATCAAGATAAAAAGCACACCGTTTCCACTTTCCCTGGACTCCTGTGGCAGGGAGGACATCAGCAAGTGGACAGGACAATTCATCCCAGCTTGCCCCTCTGGCTGGGCTCCCGTCTGTGGTTAGAGGGGCCACACCCAGGCCTGTCTCTCCAACACCAGAACTGTGTGCTCCAGTCAACAGACGGGGTGGATGGGGGTGGATGTTAGAGTTTCCCTGGGGCTTGCAAAGTGATGACATTGAATAATTAGCAATATTATCGGTGATAACATCTCTTTCCCCAAGAGTTCAGAGCACCGCCTAAAAAAGTGCATGCACGGCCGGGCACGGTGGCTCACGCCTGTAATCCCAGCACTTTGGGAGGCCAAGGTGGGCGGATCACGAGGTCAGGAGATCGAGACCATCCTGGCTAACACGGTGAAACCCCGTCTCTACTAAAAATACAAAAAATTAGCTGGGCGTGGTGGCGGGCGCCTGTAGTTCCAGCTGCTTGGGAGGCTGAGGCAGGAGAATGGCGTGAACCCGGGAGGAGGAGCTTGCAGTGAGCTGAGTTCAGGCTACTGGACTCCAGCCTGGGCGACAGAGTGAGACTCCGTCTCAATAAAAATAAAAATAAAAAATAAAAAATGCAAGCACAGTGTATCCCTTCCACACTTCACACGGTGCAATGTGAGTCTATTACAATCCCTGCTAGCACTGAAAACAAACAAAACCAAAAAACAAACCCAAAACTGGAAAGAAAAAAAAAAAAAAAAAAAGTTCCAATCTTTCCTTTCCAGTCATCTGGTGCCACCAAGTGGCCAGTAACGTTTCTACTCCTTTAAAAAACAGGCGACGAAGCTGGGGAGGAGGGGAGAGCAGGGGAGGGGACAGGACACCATTATCCGGATGCTCAAGCCTGGGACCCATCTCGGCGTGGTCTGTACCCCAAACCTGAGGGATATTATGTTTTCTTTAGAGTTCTACCCTTAAAGGGCCAGTGTTGTCTTTAAAAAAAAAAAAAAAGGTAAAAGCTAGCATAGCAACAAATCTGTTTCGTTTCCTCTTAGTCACAGAAATAACTGCTAGAATAACTGCAGCATATGTACTGTAACTATATTTTAATGAAATACAAGTTACAAAAATAAGGATTTCTTTACTAGACCTCCCTAGTTTTTTGTGCTTATTGGGTCTGTTCTTAATGATATTTTTGGATGATTTTTTTCTAAGATAGCAAGAAGCGCCCCCTCCCCAACCCCATCAAGTGAAAATATTCTGATTAGATTATTCAACGTTCAAGTTTAGAGAAATGTATTTTTCTAGTATAGTATCTAGTCCTCCAAAGAGTTTTAAGTCAAGTTAAACCAGGGTCCCTATCCTGATCCTGTCACTTTCAGCTGTAGGATGCTGGGCAAGTTCCACATTTTATCTAGGGCTTATTTTGTCCGTTTAGAAAATGGCATACAGTACCTCGTCTCCCACAGTTATTGTGAACTTAAACACACACAGCGTTCTCCACCCCTAAGTTTGAAAAGACAGAAAACACAACTTCTGTGGAAGAACCTCTAATGGAATTACCCAGGAGGAAAGGGGGCTCAGAAATCCAGCAAGTTACCAGGATAATGAAATAGTGTATTTGGGTGCTCCTGGCCCGAGAGATGTAAAATGCAACTTACTCCAGCTCATCCTCGGAGTCATAGCCCACTGGCCCGGACTCGATGGCAATGACCTCATTCCTCGTCTGACTCTGTTTCCAGGTGCTACTTTCTGTGGACGATGGCGATTCTTTTCTCTTCTTCTTCCCAAAAAACTTCTTAAAAGTTTTGAATTTAGATTTTTTCTTTCCTATACAGATGAGAGAAAAAAGCAAATAATAAGTAAGAGTGTTACAGTGCGTGTTTATGTGCACGTATGCAATGGGCACGTAAAAGAGAGAAAGCAAGATTTCCATCCATGCATCAGTTATCTGCTTCTGGAAAGTCCTTTTACGGCGCAGAAGTACATGGTATACCAGTTTTGCACACCTGAAAACACATCTTGTTTTCTTTTTATTTAGGATATTTACGTAAAAGAGCCAAGAACACTTTGGAAGATGATCACAGAATCAAAATTAGCCACTTTCTTCTCATCTATAACCAAGTTCTAATTTCTAAAATATATGTAAGTCAACTACAAAAGTCCTGAGGAGGTAAAGGTTACGGGATAACCCAAGCTATTTAGAAAATAATTCTTGGCCAGGCATGGTGGCTCACAGCCTGTAATCCCAGCACTTTGAGAGGCTGAGGCAGGAGGTTTGCTTGAGCTCAGGAGTTCGAGATCAGCCTGGGCAACATAGTGAGACCTTCTTACTACAAAAACAAACAAACAAACAAACAAAAGTTGGGCATGGTGGCACATGCCTGTAGTCCCAGCTACTAGGGAAGCTAAAGTAGGAGGTTTGCTTGAGCCCAGGAGTTTGAGGCTGCAGTGAGCTATGACTGCACCACTGCACTCCAGCCTTAGTGACAGAGCAAGACCCTCTCTCTCAAAAAAATATTTAAAATTCTGAAATGCTTTGTCTAGTGTGAATACAGCATCAAGGGCAGAGGAGACCCAACGTCATGGGCAAGAAGGTGGCTCTCTAGGGCACCAACTGTATGAGGAGCTAATGATTTTTGGTGAGAAAAACAATGAGACTGGTCATCCCCAAAGGGAAGGGGTGTGGCCAGGCTGAGCCCAACTCTGCCATGCTTCCTGGATTATTAGAATTCACCACACTTTTCAACATTTTGTGATCGCTTCTCTGGTGACAACTTCATTCTCTCCCACAAATTCTATCATACCCAGGTTTCCATGATTTCACATTAGCTGCTCAGCAAAGTTCACTCCTTTTCCAGAGTAGTTACAGAACTGACAGTGGAGGGATGTAACATCGTAGATTACCAGGATGCTGTCTAATACCTCCTGAAAATTTGCAAAACAATTCATTAGATTTTATAATAATTTAATAAACTGAATTCCTTAAAAAACCCAGGATCTTTCTGTTGTGTTTATATTACTGCCTCCTTGGGAAGCTTACATGATCTTACTCTCATGGGGAGAATCACTTAGGATTACTTTAGTAGGAGTTCCTACCTCATTACAGGTAGAACAAATCACTCTCCAAGGATAAATCAGTTCTACGGCACAGTTTTCTCAGCGCCTAGTGTGGAAGTGTTCTCAACTTTACAATCGTAAAAAATGTCTATGTTGTTAGTAGATGGTTCTCAGTGAGCATTTATTATTTTGAAAGACTCGTAAGAGTTTTCTGCATTTCGTCAGGACACCCTGTGGCTTTTGCCTAGTCAACAAATTGGTATGCATCCTCGAAGGCCTGAATAGATACACAACCTCAATACCATGACCATCAAAGATGCTGCATTAATGGTGTCCTCAAGTATAACTGGTATACCTCAAGTATAACTGCTGTACACCTTTGTTCCACTGGCAGGGCTGAGTCAGCCATCCATTTGTTCAAGTTCTATTTCTTCTCCTGCTAGTCTTTGTAGTTCAATTTCTTTAACGGTTACAGGACTAGTCCAGTTTTCTACTTCTTGAATCTGTTTTTTTAGTAACATTTTTCTGAAAATGTATTTTTTCCACATTTTCAAATGTATTGGCCAAAAAGTATTAATAATATCCTTATATCTTTCAAGCATTCACAACATCTATAGTGACTGATGCCTCTTTTCTTACCCTGATATGAATTATCATAAATGTGCCTCTTCTTTGTTCCTTGATCAATGGCATCAGAGGCTGATCAATTTTAATTGCCTTAATAAAGTTTAGCTTTGTTAATTCTTTCAGTTGAATGTCTATTCCATATTGTATTAATTTCTGTTCTTATCTTTATTCCTTCCTTCCTATTTCTGCAGGTTTACTTTACTATTTTCTTAAACTTCTTGAGATAAACATTTGGTTTATTACTTTTTAGACTTTCCTGCTTTTATAATATAATATTTAAGGCAATGCATTTCCCTCTAAGTCTGTTTTAGCTGCATCTACATATTTTAGAATGTAGCATTTTCATTATTGTTTGGTCAAAAATATTTTCTAACTTCTATTATGATACCTTCTTAGACTTATGGGTTATTTAGGAAAATATGTCTTCTTCATTTCCAAGCAGTTGAGGATTTTCTAGCTTAATTAATTATTACTAGCTTAATTATTATTTCTAATAATTATTGTTATTGATTTCTAGCTAATTAGTTATTGATTTCTAGCTCAATTAATTGCACTGTGGTCCAGTAACATACTCAGAACGATTTGAACCCATTCAAATCGGTTGATACTTGCTTTATGGCTTACCACGTGAACAATTTTTTAAAATGTTCCTGGTGTGCTTGAAAATAATGCTTTTTCTTTAGTGTTCTATATATGTCAATTAGAAGATCTCTCTTAAAAAATTGTGTTGTCCAAGTATTTTATATCTTTACTGACTTTTAAAATGTTTGTTTTAGCAATTACTGAGAGAGATGTGTTAAAAATAACCCCACTCTGATGACAGATTTTCTTATTTATCTTTAGTTGTCAGTTTCTACTTTACAACTTTATTTGTTGGGGAAGTTGCTTTCCTGCAAAAACCGGAAAGCCTGCTAGACAAACTCTAAAAGAGCTGTAATACTTACAACTTTCTATAATGCGTTAATGCATAGAAATGCAAAATTATTATCTTGCTGAGGAACTGAACATTTTGTAAAAACGCCCTCTTTATGTTTAGCTATGTTTTTTGCCTTACATTTCATTTTGACTGCTCTTAGTACAGGTAGATCATACCAAATCGGAAAATCTGAAATGCCGCAAAATCTGAAACTTTTTGAGCTCCCACCCGATGCTTAAAGGAAATGCTCACTGGAGCATTTCAGACTTTGGATTTTCAAATTTGAGACACTCAACTGGTAAGTATAATGCAAGTATTCCAAAATCTGAAAAAAATCTGAAATATGAAACACTCCTGATCCCAACATTTTGGATAAGGGATATTCAACCTGTATAGCTACACCATCTTCCTCTACCCAGCGCTCACGAGGTACAGGTTTTTGTATCCTATTACTATCCTTACTTTTCTGAACCTTTACAGTTAAGATTCAGATATTTAGAGTTTTGGAATCTAATCTGATAATCTTTAACTCTTAACTGGAACAATTAATGTAATTAATTAATCTAAGTAGTTAATCCACTCACACTCACTGTTATTACTGATATATTAATAAAAACAAATCTATCATCTTATGTGTTTTTTCACTGATCTTCAAAAAAAAAAAAAACATTCCATTTCTTCCATTGCTAGTTTATAACCCTTATCTTTTGCTTCCTCTTTCAGTGGTTACCCTAGAAATTATACTACACATTTGATTACAGGTCAATACAAGGATCTTAGAATACTTCAATTCCATTTTTGTGCACTATTGTTTTAATTCTGATTGTTAAAAAAAAAAAAAACCAAAGTTATTTCATGTTCACATAGATGTATCCACTTGCTTATTGTTTTCTTTGTTCTTCATTCCTTCTCATATTCCAGATTGTCCACTAGGAAGGTTTTCCTTTGGCCTGAGGGCACATTCGTGTAGAATCTGTGTTTACTGGGGGCTTACTGGGGCCAACCCAGTTTTTGTTTGTCCGAAAATGCTTTCATTTCTCCATCACTCCTGAAATACATTTTTCGTAGGTATAACATTCTATTAAGTTGGTGCAAAAGTAATTGCAGCTCTTGCCATGACAGTTAATGGCAAAAACAGCAATTACTTTTGTGCCAATATAATCGTTTGGCAGTTACTTTTCCTAAGGATATTTAGGCTATTATTTCCCTGTTTTGTGGCTTCTATTGTGTTGAGAAGTTAGGCATTGGTTACTTTTTTGCTCCTGTCCAGGTAATCTGTCTCTTTTTCTCAGACTTATTTTAAGATTTTTCATCCTCTTTGGTTTTCTGCAGTTTTACCTCATATGGATTTTCTTTGATTTATCCTTCTTGGGATTCATTGCGTTTCTTAAACCTGTGGGTTGGGTCATCTTTTTGATAAAATCCAGAAAATTCTCAGTCCTTCTCTCCTCCCCTGAGACTATGCTCAAATGGATATTACACCCTTTCACTTACTCTCTACACTCCTTGTTCCCCTTTCTGTATTTTCCATCTTTTTACCATTCTATGGTACATTTTGTATACTTTCTTGTGATCTATCTTGATCTGATATAATCTGCTGTTATAACCATGCATTTTAATAATTACATTTATTTTACATAAATATAATTGAAAATAAAATTTTAATAATTACATTTATTTTAAATGAATTTATGTAAAATAAAATTTTAATCATTACATTTATTTCTAAAAATTCCTTTGTTTTTCAAATCTGCTACATCTTGTAAAAAAAAAACTTATTTTGTAAATTACACACAGTAAAATTCATTCTTTCTGGTGTACATAGAGTTGTATAATTATCACCACAATCAAGATACAGGACTGTCCTCATGCTGCCCTTTTGTAGTCCAACATCCCCCGCTACCTTTAACCCCTGGCAACCACTTAAAACTTTTCTGTTCCTATAGTTTTGCCTTTTCTAGAATGTCATATAGATTAAGTCACACAGTATGTCCCTTTTTCATTCTGGCTTCTTTCACTCAGCACAACACATTAGAGGCTCACTCATGTTATACCAAATCCATAGTCTATTTCTTTTTATTGCTGAGTAGAACTCCATTGTGTGGATATACCAGTTTGCTGAACCATTTCAACCTGCTGAAAGACATCTGGGTTCTTTTCAGTTTTTAGCAATTATAAATAAGTTGCTATAGTGTGTGTGTGTGTGTGTGTGTGTGTGTGTGTGTGTGTGTAAGCATAAGTTTCCACTGCCAAGTAAATACCTAGGAGTTGGATTGCCGAGTCATAGGCTAAGTGTATGTTTAACTTCACAAGGAGCTGCCAAAATGGTTTTCCAAAGTGGCTGTGCCATTTTACATTCCTCCCTTCAGTGTATCCTTATCAGCTCCTGTTGCTATGGTGGTTTTCTCCAGACATTTAATAGGTGTGTCCCGGTATCTCATGTAGTTTTCCTCTGCATTACCTAATGATTACAGATATGAGATTTCTTCATATGCTTACTTGCCATCTGCACATCTTCTTAGGTTAAAGCATCATTTAAAATTTGCTCCCCATTTTGTAACTGAGTTATTTGTTTTCTTATTTTTGAATTTTGAGAGTTCCAAATATATGCTGGATATAAGTCCTTTATCAAGTGTGATTTATAAATATTTTCTTCTAGTCTGTGACTTGTCCTTTCATTTTCTTAAAAGTGTCTTTCTCAGAGCATATTTTAAAGTTTTGATGAAGTCCAATTTATAAATTTTTTCCTTTTATGGATTCAGGTATTATATCTAAGAATCCTTGCCTAATCCTTGGTCATAAATATCTTCTACTATGCTTTCTTTTAAAAGCGTTAAGAGTTTTATATTAGGTTTATGACACATTTTGAGTTAATTTTTGTATAATCTGTGAGGTATATTTACATATGAATGTCCAATTGTTCCAGCACCATTTGTTGAAATATTATCTTTTCTCCAATGAATTGTCTTTGCAATTTTGTCAAAATTAATTAACCGTATTTGTATGGGTCTGTTTTTGAACTCTACTTCCTTCTGTCTCTGTGTATCTATCCTTTTGCCAATACCATACTGTCTTGGTTACTGTAGCTTTATAGCAAGTCTTAAAAACAGGTAGTACGAAGCTTTCAACTTTACGTTTTTTCAAAATTGTTTTTACTATTCTAGCTCTTTGCTTTTTCACACAAATTTTCAAATCAGTTTGCCAATATCTGTGAAAAGTTCTGCTGGGATTTTGATTGCTTCCTCTTTACCCCTCCTCCTCCCCATTTCTGATGGGTTATTTAAAAAAAAAATCATCCCAGGCACTATTATTATTTCATCTATGTGGACTTGGCTTTTTCCTAAATGAAAAAATCTCTGACTCTTCATGGAAATCAAATAAATTATTACTTGTCAGTATTCCTGCTACAGAATATTGAGCTAACTGTATGTCAGTCTTCCATAACTGACTTTTAAAGACTGCACCGCAATCTTGGTATATTTGTGTAAGAGTTCTGAGTGCTTTTCTGTATATGTTGTATAATCGTGTCATCTATAAATAGAGACAGTTTTATTTCTTTCTTCCATCTCTCTTGTCTTTTATTCCTTTTTCTTGCTTTATTGCACTGGCTGGGTGCTATGCCACTTTTCCCTGGATGTTTTAAAACTTTTCTATTATCTTCAAACATAGTATGCATAGTTGTTTTATAGGATGTAGTTGGTAATTCTGATATTGATGCCTTCATGTGTCTGTTTCTCTTGTCTGTCTTCACGTGTGCATGGCGTCCTCCTTGTGTGCATATCTACGTCCATAGTTCCCCTTTGCATAAGGACACCCTACTCCAATATGATCTCATCTTAACAAATTACATCTGCAATAACCCAGTCTTCAAATAAAGCCACATTTGGAGATGCTGGAGACTTCAACATACGGATTTGGTGGGAGCACCATTCAACACATAGCATGTTCATTCTCATTCATAGTACACTGCTGCCTTCGATGCCTGGTTATCACTATGTGGTTGTCATGACACTGAAAATATTGCTTTCTGTAATAATTTGAAGTCTAAATAGAAGGTGCCTTCCATTAGTGAATATTATTTGTTTCTGCAAAGTACCTGGGTTTGTATCCCGTCTAGAAGCAATATGAACCAAGTTCAAGGGTTGAGGTTCTCTGAATTACCTGAATGGTGGAAACTCAAGCTACAAATCTACAAAAGGGTTGGTTTACCCCTACTTCACACCTACTCAGATTTGGTAGCTCCTTGGCTCCCCTTTATTGTAGAGAGTGTCTTCTATTAGACCGTCTACCTTACACAGACCTTGTAGTTTGATATTTGACCTTGCTCTCACCTTCCACCCCATGAAGACACGAACATTTCCAAGATAGGTAAATGATCTAAGGGCAAAAGTGGCTTTTATACTCTGTTGTCTCTCTAGGTTACCATTTTCCTTTTCTATTTTTTTTTTTTTTTTTTTTGGAGGCAGGGTCTTGCTTGTTGCCCAGGCTGGAGTGCAGCGGTGTAATCATGGCCCACTAAAGCATTAACCTCCTGGGCTCATACAATCCTCCCACCTCAGCCTCCCAAGTAGATGGGACTACAGCTGTGTGCCACCATGTCCAGCCCATTTTAAAATTTTTTTGTAGAGACAGAGTCTCACTATGCCCAAGCTGGTATTGAACTCCTGGGCTCAAGCAATCCTCCCACCTCAGCCTCCCAGAGTGCTGGGATTACAGATGGAAGCTGCTATGCCTGGCCCATTTTCCTTTCAATTCTGGCCTTATTATTTCTTACTTTGAAAAATATTTTAAAGAATATTCTTATCTAGAATTTTAAATTTTAAGTGGAAGAGGATTGGTCTGAATAACTTAAGCCCACTATTTGAAAAAAAGAAAACTTAGTCCGTTTTCTTCAGTAACCTCTGTATGTATTCAGAACTAGCACTTATTGAGGTCATTTCAGGCTGATGAAATATTTATTCAAATGTTTCTTGTTTAAAACAAATAATAATTCAGTGTTCCATAATATGAGAAAATTTGAAACTCAATTTTTCTTCAGGGCTCATCTAAAAACCCTCACGTTAAATTTGGATTTATTTGGTATCCATTGAAATGTGACAGAGGAAAAATGGTTCTAATATGAAATAATAAGAAAAAATCTATCTTTAATATCTGAAATGGAGCCTTTCCTGATATTAGCATCCGAAGCTAGTGGCGAGCAGCTAGGATTTAATATTATTGGGAGCTGTTTCTCCTGAACTGTATCAAAGAAGATCACTACTGGCATTTTGAATGTAAATAAGAGAGAGATGGAGGCCTTGGTTACCAAAATAAGGGGAGTATATGAATGGCTAATCTAGGGAAAAGGTACATTGTGGGGAGATTACTTTTTTAATGTCAATTTTACAACTCTGTCAACATAAATAGCAATATGTGGATAACAGTAAACCAATCACATGATTGGAGAACTCTTCGAATGTCTTGTGAGATGGTGATTCATGGGCCTGGAATTCAGCTCAGCAGAGAACATACTAAAGATCTCCTTCAGAACAAAAGTCATGAAGGAGAGGGATCAAAGAGTCCTGATGTAATGATTTTTTTACAGGCTGCCAGGTACTCTGCTCAGCCTCCTACGGACACCTTTGGATATTCTTAGATGGTGAATGAATCCATTTAGTACCTCTTCCTTTGCATTCATGTCAACCAAACACGGGGACATGGTTACCTCCAGAAAGGAAGAAAATGAGCGAAAAGGTCCCTGTGCTTGACAGAGAAGCAGAGGAAATGTGCCCCGAGCAGCCTTAAATAATGTGCATGTGCCCCCAGTCACAGTGTGAAGGGCCTGGGGGTATCTGAGCACACTGGGAACTGAACCCCCACTTTTCATACAGAGTCCCAAAGGCCTGCCTCTGTCAGCCCCTCTCCCTGCCCCACAACAAAGCAAGTGCCCTCCCCAGAGCAGGGGAAGCAGGGCCTTACCTGTGCTGTCCTCCCCTAGGCCTTCTGCAGTCTCCCGAAGCTTAATGTCCATCACCCTTGTGGAAATCATGTTGAGCTCGCTGAAATTAGATGGAAATTCACGTTACAGAAATGTGGTTAGCAGAAGTTACCAATGAGTGAAACGGTGTTCCTGACTGCATTTGTCATGATCTGGCCTGCACACACCCCAGCAAAGACAGTCCAGGGCAGAGTGCAGCACAGTACAGGCCAAAACCACGTCCACAGCCACAAGATCAGCAACCGCAACAGCGTTTAATCACTGACTGGGGCAATTTAATGGAAAACAGATCACTGAAACAAATGCTTCACTAATTTACACAATGCAGATTAGGTTTCTTTCAAAACAGTTTTTCTCAAATTATAAGAAATGATTTTTTTTCTCTTGTTTACTACAGGAAGTTTGGAAAATAGAATGAAAATCACCCATAACCCAACCAACCAAGGATCACTACAGTTAATGTTTTCATTTCCTTCCAATAATTTTTTACGCAAATATTTTGTCCACATGCACACATATCATATTAGGAAGCTTGATTTCCTGATTGTCTTACTTATACCACATCATTAAAATTCTTCACATGTTATTTTAACGGCTACCTAATATTTTGATATACTACTGTACCATCATTTATTTACATTGAGATTCTTTTTTTTGAATGCAATGAAAAATTTCAAACAGATACAAAAATGTGAAGAACATACAGTGAACTCAAGATATGACTAATCTTCCTTCATTTTTACCCCCACACCCCATCCCACTCCTAGGAGGTGATTTCTAAGCAAATCATCCCAGACACGATGATCATTTCATCCCTATAAATTCAGCTGCTTCCTGAATATAAAAATCCCTCACTCTTCATGGAAATCAAATACGCAATTATTGGTCAATATTCCTGCTACAGAATACTGAACTAATGGTGTCCATGCCTTCCATAACTGACTGTTACAGTAGGCTCTGCCTCCAAGGAGGCGAAGGTTGCCCACCGACAAAAGGACAACGAATGGATCTCATGTCGCATGGAAGGTTTCAGAACTTACTCATGTTTTACCTCCCAAGCATCTTCATACTGATAAGAGCATAACATGGGGTGGAGGAAAGGGGCAAAGACTTGGATGTTAGGCAGTTCTGGGGTGGCATCTTTACCCTACCACCTACCAGTGCCAGGCCTCAGCATCCTCACAGGCAAAAGGAAGATGAAAATACTATGATGAAATGAGACCAGGACATGGCATGCAGCAGGCACAAGCTGAGCCCTGCTGTCAGTTCCCGCAGCCCACTCCTCACCGCCGCGTGCTACTGTTTATGCGCAAAGGCTTCCAGAGCATACATGCCCGGCACGGCCTGGCAGCAGGTAAGCGCCGGTCGTCCAAGCAAATGGCTCACTTCAAAGTCGCCATTGTCAGTCACGGGACAAACACCCGGTTTCCCAGCTGACCCCTGTGCTTCCGGATCCCCACCGCCCGATGGGCTCAAACCACTGCCAGGTGACTGATGAAAACATGTTCAGGGTTGCAGAGGAATGTCTGCCCAGAGACCGCAGGCCGCACAGGTGGAGAACCGTTTCCTTCATGTGACATGCCAGGTGGAAACACCCCAGAGCTGTGACAAGGGAACATCAGCTCTGTTGGGCCAAGTAACTTGTCTTTCTGAACACGCGTTCCCCAAACCGCAGTAAAGTTCAAGGAAACGCCAGATGTAAAACCGTACTTAGAAAGGCAATGTGGCAAATGCCCAGCCCTCCCACACCTCCTTTTGCTCCTCACACGAAGACAGTGCTTCTCACTGGAACTCCAAGGTCAAGTCAGGCCACCTCAGTGTCCCCTCAACCAGCACCTGCTCTCCACCCTTCTACTCTTGGAGTTCTGAGAGCTCTAAATCCAAGTCAAAGAAAACTTACTCTTTAAACGAAATCCGGACGGGCAGGGCCTCTTCCTGGGTTCTAATGAACTCACTAGAGTGCTGAGCCTCCAGCCCCCACTGCAGGGCACAGCACTTCGTCAGTGTGTATCTGGGCACCCACAGAATCCAGGGGAGTCCTGCCTCTCAAAAAGATCCCTTAATGTGGAGGCTGCCCCACTCCCTCTCCCTCCACCCTAACTGACCACAGGCTCCTTCCCGGCTTAGAGCAGAGTTCCATCGTTAGTCTCAGCTTCTATTGAAATATTTCTACAGAAGTTAATTCACAAAGAATGAGAACAGATTTTAATATGGTATTTTAAAGATTTCAATCTATTATATTTACCTACACAATGCAAAGAAAAATATCTGTACCCTGACTCCATACATCTGGGCACATAATTATGTATGAAAGCTTTAGTGTTCACCCCACAGATTCCCTAATCCCACACCACCCTCCAGGCTGTTTGGACCCCTGTGGATCCTTTCTTACCTCCCGGTACCCTTCTTTCACATTGCTCACCAAGGTTGTCATCAATAACTTGTTTGGGAGGTGTGTCTGCTTAACATCCCTTCCTCCCATAGCTGTGGGTTTTGAGGGGTGAGTGCTATGCCTATTATATTCACTGCCCCTTTACCAGTACCCAGGACAGTGCCCGACCAAAGAACTGAACAGAGCACACGAAACAAGAGAACTGACAAACTAGAGGGGCTTCTGGGTATTAGAATCCTTTGAGATCTTGGAATAGCAATTCATTTAACTTCAGAGAGATGTAGAAAGACCCAGAAAGAGTGACTCTTGGTTCACCTTTCCCTTGTCAGTTTGAGGAGGTGATTTAATCTACCTGTGGTCAGCATTAGGGAAAACATCAACCTTTATTCAGTCTTTACACCTCCCTTTCCAACAGTGCTCTCCCTCACTTTCTTCCCATGGCAGGGTTCTGCCATCTACCCTGTGTCACCTTCTCCAGGGTCTCTGTACCCACCAACTTGCAGGTCAGTATCAGCAGTGATGTCCTCTCAGAGGTAACTATTTTAAGTAGAAAACTCCAGTGAAAGGAAGTAACTGCCAACAAAGATTCTCAACTCCAGAAAAACATCCTCCGAATTTAAAGGTAGGTTAGATTTCCAAATGGTAGAGTAGCCTACACCACAATAAAACTTTCCACTGATGATAAGTATAAACTGTGGTGAAAAGATTAAAAACAATCATTTGAAGGCAGTTATGAGCAACCAAAAGCAGAAATTAAAGTGGAATCAACTCTTTTTTTCTATTATTTTTTAATTTTTTATTTTTGGAATCAACACTTAAAAGAAGGGAACTGCAGTAGGAGTGATTTATGTGTGTAGGGCTTTTGGCCTGGAAAAGGTCTCAGGTATGTTTATTGTGCAGTGGCTGGAGCTCAAATAGAAAGCCATAATCTTATTGGCTTAATGAATCCAAGAATGGAATTTAGGGCTGCCAGAGCAGATGGAAACTGAGGGAGAATATCTTAGGAAGGAAAAAACTTCAGAGACAGGAGCACCAAAATCCACATGTAAACCCTTTCCTAATTATTGGCTCCCCTCCCCTGAATTCTGCACATACTGGGGAGATTCCAAGGAACTAGGCAGAAGATAACAGCTGGTAGGCTGAGGGAAATGAACTAAAATTTTTCTACTGCTCACTGCAGGAGAGACAGAGTTCACAGGTAACAAATAGCCTGCCAGAATAAAATTGGTCATCTTCAAGACAGCATAACAGATTCCAGAGTTCCTATGAAATATCATTTACAATGTCTACCATATAATCAAAATTTACAAAACATGTAAAGAAATGGGAAAATATGACCCATAGTCATGAGAATAAAATACCTAAGAGAGAATAATCCTGAGTGATCAAAATTCTTAAATAGCAGACAAAGACTTTAAAGAAGCTACTTAAAACAAAAATGTAGCCATAATGAATAAAAAGATAAAGAATTTCAAATTAGAAACATACGATACAAAGAAGGAACAAATGGAAAACATTAAGATGAAAACTGTAATTTCTAAAATAAAATATTTATTAAATGGGCTTAACAGCACATTGAAGATATCAAAAGAAAGGATCAATCAAATTGAAGAAAGATCAATAGAAATGATCCAATCTGAAGAACAGAGAGAAAAAAGACTGGGAAAAAAAGTGAATGTGAACACAGCCTCAGTGACCAGTGGTACAGTATTTGTCTATCATATATATATATTTTTTTTATTATACCTTAAGTTCTAGGGTACATGTGCATAACGTGCAGGTTTGTTACATATGTATACTTGTGCCATGTTGGCGTGCTGCACTGATCAACTCGTCATTTACATCAGGTATAACTCCCAATGCAATCCCTCCCCCCTCCCCCCTCCCCGTGATAGGCCCTGGTGTGTGATGTTCCCCTTCCCGAGTCCAAGTGATCTCATTGTTCAGTTCCCACCTGTCTATCATATATTTAATTGAGCCCCAGAAGCAGGGAGTAGGGGGAGTGAGGAAGCAGGAGAGAGAAAGACGGAAAAGGAAAGAGAAGAGAGAAGTAGAGAGAAGGGGTGGGGGGTGGAGAGAGAGAGAGAGAGAGAGGGAGGAAGGGAGGGAGGGAGAGGAGGGAAGGGAAGGGAATGGGAGGGGAGGGGAGGGAAGGGGAGGGAAGGGGAGGGGAGAGAAGGGGAGGGGATAGAAGGGAAGGGAAGGGAAAGGGAAAGGGAAGCAGGAGAAAATATTTGGAGAACTTATAAATAAAAATTTCTCCAAAATAGGGGAAAAGGTAATGTTACAGATCCGAGAATCTTAGCAAACGCCAAGAAAACCACAACAAGGCACATCATAGACCTCAAAGAAGTGTGGAACACAGCGTAGTGTACTAAAACCAAAGAGGAAGAGGAAATCTTGACAACAGCCAGAGAAAAATGACACATCATAAATAGGCAAACAACAACACAAATGACCAATAATGATAAGAAAATGCAACAGAATAGCCTCTTTAAAGTGCTGATAGAAAACAAAGAACAACCCAATATTCTATATCCAGAAAAATTATCCTTCAATAATGACGGCAAAATATAGACATTTTTAGATAAGTGAAAAGTTCAAGAATCTGTTTCCAGCAGATATGTACTACAGAAAATGCAAAACAAAAGTATTTTAGGATGAAAGAA